ACTCCCTCACAGACAGTGCCCTGTGAGCTGGTGCACTGTCATCATGCAAGAGCCATGAATTGTTGGCAAAAAGTTCAGGTCGTCTAACTTTTTGACGCAGCCTTTTCAGCACTTCCAAATAGTAAACTTGGTTAATTGTCCTGTTGTTACAAATTCATAGTGAATAATCCCTCTGATATCAAAAAAGGTTAGCAACATCATTGCAACAAGTTTGCAACTTGCAAAATTAACTGTCTGACCTCCTATGTCAGTGGCCTGGGACATGCCTCCAGCTTTCAGTATTTCAGACTCCTTTGGCGGGAGGGGGCTCTGCTGCGGCATACAGGGCCATGCAATGGTAGGCAGATGGCTGCTGGGCGCATCCACTAGCGATGTGGGGCTGATGCTGATCTGGCTGTCTCTTTCTGTGTAAAAACTTTGTCCCATCCAGAGCTTTCCCTCAACACCAATGCTTCCTGCTGACCCTTTCTATACTTGAACCTCCCCCGGGGGAACCCTATGTAGCTTGTCTCAGCTAGGTATTAGAAGCAAAGCCATGGATCTGTTGGTCATCCTAGGAGCCTTTCACACACACCCAGACTAGAGTAGGGCCCCATTACATATCAGAAAGGCATGACAATTCCTATGTCTTTAATAGGATAACTCCCACTCTGGGAATCTTCCCCCAAGGAAATGAGACTATATACAATTATAAATCCAGCAAAAGAAGACACCTAAGTAATGCTGAATCTACTCAAAGGCCTATTATGTAGCCATGGTTAGGAAAATACCAACAGTGAACTATCATTTGTTAAGCAAAATAACCCCACCATACACAAGGTGCTAAATTATAGCTATGTCATGACTACAACTATGGGAAACTCATAAGAGAAAGACTAGAGGAAAACACATACCATGGTCGCTTAGGCCATGGCATAGAGGCAAGGCAGGGTACTGTCCCCACATATGCTTAGGTCTGACGCTGGGTCCCACCACTAGAAGCAGCATGACCAAGAGCAAGTTATTTGGGGCCCATTTACTCTTCTGTAAAATAAGGATACCAAGCAGTAGTGCCAATCTGAATTTAAGGGATCTTTTAGAAAGAGCTTTTCAAAAACATTTATATAAATTACACGTTGTGTCTTTTCTACATGTGTTCTAAAACTAGACGAAAATCAACCTGTGGGCAAGAACAGCATTTTATATTTCTTTTGGCTCTCACTAAACCTAGCACAGTGCTAGGAACATTTTAAGGTTCAATTAATGCATGCTGGTTAGATAACACTAAAATTTAAGTTATACTTTATCATAGAACTGATAATAAAGAAGCTTTAGTTATAATATTTATTTTCTCCTAACATCTGCCTTACCCAGAAACAACTTCTTAATTTAAAATTCTTTCAGTGATTTATCAAAGCACCAAGGTATTGAGTTGTCGGAAAAGTCATGATGTATTTTTTCTGTTTTTCATTGCAAAAATGCATTCATGACTTTTCCGACAACCCAATATTTTACTTTTATTTTCCCATCAGTTGCTACTTGTAAGGTCACACTTATTATTCTATTTATTCTTCCCACAACACTTTCCTACTTATAGACTGTGAGAAACTGCAAATGAATAGAAAACCAACTTTCTTATATATAAGGAATCAAGAGTTTTCTAAAACTATCTGAAATTCTTATTTCTGCCTTCTATACAGTAAGCATACTGCCATTCTACTCACTATTCCACCAGAATACATCTTCACATTTCAAACTGGATTACTCCCTTAAAATACTGGATTATGTTCAAGTAGTAAAAACAAGAATGGTGAAGTCTATTGAATATTTTTGCATTTGCTTATTGCAACACTAGTTAAAACACCAATTTATAATTTTTTTACATGTTCCACAGTCCCAAAAAATGCACATGATTCTTTTAATCTGACTGAAGTTGTAAATCAATATTTCACTGGAGAAAATGAAAGTGCAGCATTAATTTCCAAAATGAAGGACTGAAATTCTTCTTTCCAGATTCTTTCAGTCCATCCTACTCCGCATGCTCCTGCTCTTGTCCTGGAATTAGCCACCGAATACTCTCAGTTCGAATGGTAGCATACATAACAAAACTAATTAAAAAGAATAAAGAAAATACAAGCAGCCAGTCCACACTTTTTATCAAAGTGCTGGGAAGAGGGCCTATTTGGTCAGCTTGAGTTACCACCACATTTTTCTTGGCTTCTATACCTGAAAGAGAAATCAATTGTTTCAATTCAGATAGAAAACACACCGCTACAGGTCTTTCTGAAGTATTTTGCATTGTATGTAAACTGACATGCAGTCTTAACACCCCTGCTAACATAGCTGGGATGGGTTTCACTTACCTGTCAGTATAATTTGTAATTTGCCTTTCTCCCCACTACATCAAAGGAACAGGAATCCATGCACTATTCAAAGCTAAAACACTAGAATTTCTTTGAATTCATCAGAGGGGTCTTAGTGCACTATACGAGTTGTCTTTTGTTCTCTTTTGGGACCAAAGTTCAGTAAGTAGCCAGTAAAGCTACTCTCAGGAGTCTATAGGATGTTTTCACAGGTTAAGTACT